TCCTCCTCTTGCTCCACACCTGTCTGACCATCTGTGATAGCAGGAAGCTCGGCAGACTGGTCTCCACGGCCTGCACTTCTGGCTGCAAGCTGCACCCAAGAGTTGTCCGCGTGCCATGTGATCCTCCCCTTGCAAGCTGAGACACGAACCACCAAGAAGCCTTGCTCCGCCAAGATACGGTGGGGTGTTTTCACAGCTTTCTTCTTGACCTTGGGTTCGCTTGGCGCAGATCCTGTCAAGCGGGCCGATGGACCTGCTGGCTGTGGGATGGTTTCTGGGCCCTGGGCTCGTGCTTTCGATTGGTTACTGTCACGCTTGGGCAGGAAGTGCGGCTTGCACATCAAAGCAACGAACTTGCAATGGTAATGCCACACAGAGCTCTTGCAGACACATGTGCCCTGCTCGAGGCACATCGACTTCGAAGTCTCACCCACCTGTACAGCTTCGTGTTCAGAATGTCGAACCAGTCGATTAAGTGACTGCCACTCAGTCATCAAAGCGGTCCACAATCCGTGGCCATACTTTTTGCGAACCGACGAAGTCTGCTTGAAGACCTCCTGCACTGCTGTACATTAATTTAAGAATCCGATAGCTATCCATCCGATATATCCAGCTATCCTGGAAAACGCATGTGGGCCACCAAATACAATAATAATGAATAATACAACCCACAACTCCGCATGTCTAGAGAGTCTAGACTATAGTAATACTATAGTAACTAGTAGTACAGACAGACACCTAAACACCAGAAAGACACTGGTTACACTGGTCGCTCGTCGAAAAGCCGACCGAAGATGAAGTCTGAGTCTAGGGTCATGTCACTTGGAGCACACAGCTGCCTACTGCACAGACTCTGGAGTCTAGCAAAAGTGTGGGCTGCATGGGTCTCAGTCTTGTGGCTAGTAACTAGGTCTAGGTTATATACACACTGTTACTTAGTCTGCTAGTCTATGGCTAATCGGCTAATCGGCTAATCAGCTAATCTGTGCTGAAAAGCTACATCTATTTAGGTACAGCGTAGGGCGTAGGGTGTAGGGGCGTAGGGCGTAGGGCATACGGTGATTATTATGGCTATGCCCTGGGAAGCTGCAACGCACAGAAGTGACAGAAAGTGCACACTGTCTTGAACGAAATATCTAAACTTATCTAGATCTAAAAACCTGCTGCAAAATTTTAAATGTTCAAAACCGCAACCAAGGATCAGGGTTAACGGTTAACAGTTCATGATCAGTTAATGGTTACCAGGTAACCAAGTAACCTTCCTTAGATACATTACTGCCTGTGTGAGTCCAAGTACCTTCACCAACAGATCGGCTGGCGCACTGAAGTAGGCCACATCCGGTTGACCAAAGTGCCCTGGCAGGCAGCGATAAGCCCCACTACCCAAGGCACCAACCAAGGCAGAAGACTGACCCTGCTGAGCACTGAGCAGGTCGTGATGCATCTTGGAAGCCTCCACAACATCGGCTGCCATCTGTTCACGTTCCGTCTCCCCAAGCGAACGTTGCACTCGAGACTCCTGCTTAAGTTGTCGCAGTTCTGCTTGCACCACATCACCTGTTGTTTCAAAAGGAACCACAGCCCCGGAGCCGGAGTCGTCCTGAAGGATGTGTGGGTTTGGCCCTTGTGCTTTGGGCACTGCTGGAAATGGCACTGCTCCCTGCTGTCCAGCAAGAGTCGCGAGCAAACCCAGATGCTCCAACAGTGACCACTCAGTGTCCCTGCTGGCCTTCAACATCTGGTAGCGCAGCCTCATCCTCTTGATGGCTGGGCCAACCTGCTTGAACTTGACGCCTTTCAAATTTCGATGCATAAACGCTCTCCAAGTGCCCCCATGTCCGATTTTTTGTTTGCCGTCATCTCGAATCTTGGGCTGATGTGCAGCAGCCTCCTGGCGCTTCCGTTTCTTCCTCATCTGATAATTCACAGACATCAGGCCAGAGGGCATGAAAGGTTCCCTCAAGGAGACCAAACTCCTCAAGACCCACTCCGCATTGAGCTGTTCCATTGACAAGGCCCACGTCTGGACCGACCTCAACGTTATCAAACGGCGTGTTGAAGCATGAGCAGCTTCTATGTTCAGAATGTCAAGTTGGAATGAATGTGCAATGGAGGAAAGTATTTGTTGGCACTCCTCCGATTGCAATTCGCTGTAAGTCGGAAAATCCGCAAGGATTGCTTTGGTCAGGTCATCTTGGAGGCAGAGTGGAATGTCCTCAACCTCCGTTGCTTGCCCAGTCAATGCCTTGAAGACACGGTATGGGCAATTCCGATGTGACACAGTCAGATATTGGTGAACGGCACAGGAACAGCGTGAAAGCAATCGAAACATTAATGCACGCATGGCCACTGTGCAGCCAGTGGCGGGCAGCAACATATGCTCGGTCTGCATGAGGTGATCAACCTGCTGCCTGAACTTGCTCAAATAGGTTTGCTGAGCAGCTTCAGTAACTCTGTAGGATCGAGGGTCATTCCTGGCAGCTGCCGTGTCCTGGCAGATATCAAACTGTTCACTGCTCAACCAAATGAACCCACACAGAAGCCGCAAGAGCGGCTTGGCCATCTTCAGAATCACGTAAACGGTGCACCCAGGACTGGCCTCAGCGTACATAGCAAGTTTTCGTTTGTTGGCCTTGTTCATGGCCCCAAAATCCAGATCTCCTGTGAGCTGTTGTTGCTCGGACATTTCCGCCTCACCAACTTCGAGTCCACCACCCAGCATTTCCAGTTGCCCAACTGCAAACCTCATGAGTCTGGTCTTTGGTCGAACCCCAACCCTCATGCGAGTCTGACTCTGTCTCATATGAAATCCTTGAAATTGATCGAAGCAACTACTTAAGCATTATTATCAGTCGATGACTGTATTGATTGTACCGATGAGATTGCCAGCATTGACACAGCTCTGACCCTTCACTATTGAATTGAACCATTGTTGTCCCTGCTGGTTCCCTCCCTGTCCCTGAGCTGCCTAAGCCCTAAGCTTTACTCCCTAAGCCTTAAGCCTTACGCCTTAAGCCTTAGGCCCTAAGCCCAAAGCCTCACTACTCGGTGATGCTTGCCACACAAGCCACAAGAGGAAGCAACATCCAACTAGTTGTTCACCCCACATAGATGGAAGACCGTTTGCAGCATTAAATATTGCATATTCCGATTCTATACACATACATACATAGACATAGTTACCTAAACCTACACGGACCTACACGTACACACACAGAGACACAGAGACACAAAGATACACACACACACACACACACACACACACACGCGCGCACACGCACCCCCACAAAGGTGACATATACTTCCCGGAATCCCTGGACCGAGCCCTGATCGCTAAATGCTAGACTGCTA